TTGGTTGATTCAATAATTGCATTAATGAGAAATTGAACAGGTGTTCCTAATAATCCTTTAGGTGAGTGTACAGTATATTTTCCTGTAAAACAAAAGTAACAAGCCCATTTAAATTTCAGTACTTTCAATTGCATTAATATGAAAATGTAATTAGTTACATTACTTGTTACCACCCAAAGTAACTTTGTAACTTTATTTTGTAACGTGTTACTACCAACACTGCTGATAAACTGACATTGACTGTTGAATATCATCCATAATTATTCCAGAGCAGCATGTGCAGCTGAGAGCCAAACTACTTGATGACAGAGGTGTACTTTTTAAGTCATCAGCTGCATTTAGGGCAGACTCCAGCGGTACTATTCATTTAGGAACCTCTACTTCTCTTAGTTTAGGTGAAATAGTGACTCAGTGTGGATTTTCATGTTCTCCCCATGTTGTGTAGTTTATATGTTCTCCCTGTGGTGCATGGGTTCCCTGCTGCAGTCCAAAAACATGCAGTTAAACTAACCGGCATGTGAGTATGCCCTGTGATGGACTGGCATCCCATACAGGGTGTACCCCACACTCCAGGACAAGTCTCTGGCAGTAGGTGCATAGTTCTTTGGGTGGTAGCTACAATGGGGTTTAACCCATAGGTCTGTACTGGTCATCAGATACACCCTACATATGCTGATCAAGGTTGTAGGTAATTATAGAAGCATTTTCATTATTATCCCAAATGCCTGCAGCTCTCGTTTACATAGGACCCTTTCAGGAGGCTACTATATGATGGAATTCATAACCTGACAAGTTTAAGCATAATTTATGTAGGATTACATGATCCAGCTTATGTTCACATGTAACATATGTCAGCTCATATCATCCATAAAAATGATGGTTCTATTGCACTGTTATTTCTTGTTGGCTGGGAAATATGGCCAAAATGTTATCGCAATGAAATTTTTCACACTGGTCGATATCAATATATTGATATGATTAATGAATCATTATTTTCATTAATGCGATGGGCTGGCCCCCCATCCTAGATTGTTCCCCGCCTTGTGCAGGGATAGGCTCCGGACCCCTAGCAACCCAGAATGATAAGCGGTTTGGAAAATGGATGGATGGATGGATTATTTTCATTAATAATTCATTGTTTCTTTACTCTCAGGCTGTATTTATGCTTAAAATTCCCTAAGGATTCCCCTTAAACAGAAGTAAAAGTGATTAATTGTCATACCACAGCACAGCACAAATTGTGTCGTCTGCATTTAACCCATATGAAACATTGTGACATAGCAGTGGGCAGCAATTCTTTAGCACTGTTGTTCAATAAATCCCCTGTTTGTGTCTTTGTGCTCCATTGCTAGTCCAGACAAGCAGTCACCATCTTTCCATATTCTGTAGCCGTTTGTGCAATTCAGGGTCGAGGGGGGCAAAAAACAAGGAACAATCCAGGACGGGGCATCAACCCATTGCAGGACACACTCAAAAAGGCATTTTGGTAACTCCAATTGACCTCAGCATGTCTTTGGACTGTGGTGGGAAACTAGAGAACTCAGAGAAAAAGCCACGACAACACAGGACATGCAAACTCCAAACACATGGAGCCATGGTAGAGACTCAAACACTGCACCCAGAGGTGTGAAGCAACATTGCGAATCATTGCACCACCATGGTTTACTCAGGTATTTGCTATACATTTAAATCTGGAGGCCAATGAGCATTGACAGATGATTCCATGTACTTGGAGCTCCATAGCTGATGTCCTACCTATTAAGTGTTAGCAGCAGACCTGCAAGGTGCAGTGACTCAGTGAGTCGGACACACACTGCCTGGGAAGGTTCACCTCACACCCCCCCCCCCCAAAAAAAATAAATAAATAAATAAATAAAATAAAAATAATTAAATTGGACTGGATTTATTGGAGGAGTTAAAAGAAATGTTATAGAAATTCAGTGGAATGGTGGGGCTGTGGTTTGCATGGTCATCTCACACCAGGGGTTTGATCCCCTGAGGGGTTTGCTTGTTCTTCTTGTGTGGAATTCCCTCCCTGTTCTCCAAAAGACATGCTCAGGTGAACTGGTATGGAAGATGAATGAATTATAGAAATGTTGCTGTGTCTCATCTTGTGCTTGGGGCAGGGCATGCTAGCCTGGAGTTAAGTGTAGAGTGACCCTGAAGAATCAGAAGCAGCTTTATAGGAAGCGTGAACCAGGAATCAAGAACTGGGAAGAAACCTCCTTTCGTAAGAAACATTATTATTATTATTATTATTATTATTATTATTATTAACAATAATAATAATAATAATAGACACTTTTTTATTGATCTCCATGGGGAAATTCTCTGTAGGTGTAAGTTGGCCATGAAGGGCAGCCACCCATATCAACACCTAAGGAGCTGGGGGTATAGGGCCTCACTCAAGGACCCACAAATGTGATTAGGGCCAAGCCTGTACCGACGACCTTATGATCATAGGCACAGAGGTTTAGCCCCCTGGGCCCTACGCTGCCCCCATGTAAGGTGGAACATTAGCTCACGTTACACACGTTACACATCTGCCCGCTTTAATTCCATGGGATATAAGGTTCACTTGATTTGAAAGCCCACCTTTGTAGTTGCTATTTTACCCCTCTCACTCCGCCAATCTTTTTTGTCCAGTGCTAAACTGACCGCTTTGCCAAAGTTTTCTAAGTACTCTGCAAAACTTCAGAAAACATGATAAGATAATGGTGGAAACCTCCCCAGCTGTACCAATAAACCTGTATCAGGAACTTTCCATCTCCCAATAGAAACATTCACACACATCTAACAAAACTTGTATTCCTATGCAAGAACACCACAACACCACCTGCTAACTACTGTTCACTGGTTACTCTTTTTTGTAAAGCAGACTATAAAAGCTGTGCTGTCCTCAGCTGTCTAGCTATGGTTTACCTCACTCTCTGGATGCTGTGGCGAGTTTCAGGATGCTGCAGAAGCCAGCGGTCCATGGCAGTGGTGCTCTCAGGACAGAAGGCCTCCCTGTAAGCTTGAGGGACACTGTGCCCTGCAATATGCGCTGCAAGCTCTGATAATGTCTCCAGGTTGCTGAAAAGCCTGTCACTGTTTCTCCAGGGAGATACGGCAGAGACTGAGGAGGGATGTGGACCAGATGAAGATTCAGTACTCGGGGTTCAGGCCTGGCCTGGTGGTGCTACAGGTTAGTCAATCTGGGCTATATCTAGTGCCAGTGAATCCATTATCTTCTGAGAGGATGATGACTTAGCACTGGGGGAGGGAGCCTAGGGTTTCACATGGGATTTGACCAGCACGGGCTATATCCTCTCAAATATGGTACTCATCATTTCATATTCCCTGTGACCCTGACCATGATAAGCAGTTAGAACGCAATTGGATGGATGGATTATTTCACAGTTTTTGGCTTTGTTTTTCTGTGCAAGTGTCTACACAGCACTCCAGAAGGGATATTTAGTAGACATGGTCTGAAATACTGCAGACTGATATTCCATAAATATGAATTGGTCCAGAGGTAGCTATGTTATTATTTACTGCACATGGGTTACAGGTGGGTGATAGGGAAGACTCCAACCTCTACATCAGGATGAAGCTGAAGGCTGCAGCAGAGGTATTTCCCAGTGACTGATAGGGGCATTAAGTTTGTTCTTTGTGTCTTTTCTGCACTTTAATTTTCTTCATCCTTCCAAAGATTGGAATCAGTGCAAACCATCTGAGGCTGCCAAAGACTGCCACCGAAGATGATGTGGGTATAAATGACTGGCCGTTGCACATTTACCACTTGTTCATAGTCTTCATACTGCATTGCACTATATATAAACTTGCTCTGTCATTAACTTATAGGGCCCTGCTTTTATATAAACCTGCTCTGCCATCAACTGATAGGGCCTCACTTTATAAAAACCTGCTCTGCCATTAACTTATAGGACCCTGCTTTTATATAAACCTGCTCTGCCATTAAATTATAGGGCACTGCTTTTATATAAACCCACTCTGCCATTAACTTATAGGGCCTCACTTTATAAAAACCTGCTCTGCCATTATCTTATAATCATAGTCATTTCATCTTGTTTGTTTGACTCATCTGCCGGCCCCTGGAGGATGGGCTCCCCCTTTGGGTCTGGTTCCTCCCAAGGTTTCTTCCTCTTAGGGAGTTTTTCCTTGCTACCGTTGCCTTTGGCTTACTCAATGGGGGGTCCTTACGAGGCAGAAATGTAAAGCGCATTGAGACAATGTAATGTTGTGATAATGCGCTATATAAATAAAATTGAATTGAATTGAATTGAATAAGGCCTTGCTTTATATGAATCTGGTTTGCTCTGATTTTGGTTAAGTTGAATTGGGGGATGAGGTTACATCATGCCCCCTAAAAAAAGATTGTTGATGCCTATGCATCTGGGAAGGGTTATATATTTATAATCACATGCAGTTATCTAATACAGATGGAGAAAAATTTCAACCACTGATACTCCATCAATGCCAGGTTATTCCAACAAATGTCAATGGGCAGGAATTTGCCCTACATGGCAGAACTGCTAGAAGGATGCCTCTACTGTGTAAAAAAGAATATAAATGCATGACAGGTTGCTAGACAACTATGTGAAAAAATAGGACTACTGGAACAAGGTGCTTTGGACAGATAAGTCAAAGGTTAGGGATGTTTCATCATAATACAAAAAATAGCCAAAAAAAGGTCCCCATTTGCATTTAAATAAGAAAATATTTATGAGCCAATGATTTGATCATTACTACAGCTCAACAACATTATGCAACAATAAAATGAAGTCAGCTGAGTACCAGAATCTACTGAATGATGAGGTCATCCCATCAATGGATTTTTTCTTTCCTGACAACCAGGACGAGTAATGCATGGATCATAGAGCAATCCATGAATTTCACATTGTTCCAGAGAGTGCTCAAGCAGAATGTGAGGCTTCAGTACTCTCAGGCATTTGCCAAAACTCTGAAACATAATTAGATCTGCCCATATGACAAGCAAATCCACAAAACAGAAAGAAGAAATGGATGCTTATGCAATCCAAAGCCCAGGTCCTAATCCAGTAGAAATGGTGTGAGGTTGATTGAAGTGCATTATACAAGCCCTCAAACATTACACAAGAATTCTTTAACTTATTGTTTTTTCATCCATCCATCATCTCCCGCTTAATCCAAGGTTGGGTCACGGGGGCAGCTGTCTCAGCAGGGAAACCCAGACTTCCCTCTCCCCGGCCACTTCATCCAGCTCCTCTGGGGGAATCCCGAGGCATTCCCAGGCCAGCTGAGAGACATAGTCCCTCCAGCATGTCCTGGGTCTTCCCCGGGGCCTCCTTCCAGTGGGACATGCCTGGATCACCTCACCAGGGAGGTGTCCAGGAGGCATCCTAATCAGATGCCTGAGCCACCTCATCTGGCTCCTCTCAATGCGGAGGAGCAGCAGCTCTACTCTGAGTCCCTCCCGGATGACCGAGCTCCTCACCCTATCTCTAATGGAGAGCCCAGCCACCCTGCGGAGAAAACTCATTTCGGCCGCTTGCCCTCACGATCTCGTTCTTTCGGTCACTACCCACAGCTCGTGACCATAGGTGAGGGTAGTAACGTAGATCGACTGGTAAATCAAGAGCTTCGAATTTTGGCTCAGCTCTTTCTTCACCATGACGGACCGATGCAGCACCCGCATCACTGCGGATGCCGCACCGATCCGCCTGTCGATCTCCCGCTCCATCGTCCCCTCACTCATGAACAAGACCCCGAGATACTTAAACTCCTCCACTTGGTGGAGGACTCCATCCCCGACCCGGAGATAGCATTCTACCCTTTTCCGGCTGAGAACCATGGTCTTGGATTTGGAGGTGCTGATTCTCATCCCAGCCGCTTCATACTCAGCTGCGAACTGCTCCAGTGATAGCCGAAGGTCACGGTCTGATGACGACAACAGAACCACATCATCTGCAAAAAGCAGAGACCTAATCCTGAGGTCACCAAACCGGACACCCTTAACGCCCTGGCTGCGCCTAGAAATTCTGTCCATAAAAACTATGAACAGAATCGGTGAAAACCCTCACTGGAAACGAGTCCGACTTATTGCCGCCCATGCGGACCAGGCTCTGGCACCGGTTATACAGGGACCAAACAGCCCTTAAAAGGAAGCCTGGCACCCCATACTCCCGGAGCACCCCCCATAGGACTCCCTAAGGGAGACGGTCGAATGCCTTCTCCAAGTCCACAAAACACATGTAGACTGGTTGGGTAAACTCCCATGAACCCTCCAAAATCCTGCGGAGAGTATAGAGCTGGTCCACTGTTCCACGGCAAGGGTGAAAACCGCACTGCTCCTCCTGAATCCGAGGTTCGACAATCCGGTGGACCCTCCTCTCCAGAACCCCCGAATAGACCTTACCAGGGTCCCTATAGTTGGAGCACACCCTCCGGTCACCCTTCTTAAAGAGGGGGACCACCACCCCGGCCTGCCAGTCCAGAGGCACTGCCCCCGATGTCCATGCGATGCTGCAGATGCGTGTCAATCCCCACAGCATCCAGAGCCTTAAGGAACTCTGGGCGGATCTCATCCACCCCCGAGGTCTGGCCACTGAGAAGGTTTTTAACCACCTCAGCGACCTCCGCCCCAGAGATAGGGGAGTCCACACACAAGTCCCCATACTCTGCTTCCACATTGGAAGGCGTGTTGGTGGAATTGAGGAGGTCTTCGAAGTACTCCTTCTACCGACCCAAAACGTCCCGAGTTGAGGTCAGCAGCACCCCATCCCCACCATAAACAGTGTTGATGTTGCACTGCTTTCCCGCCTGGAGCTGCCGGATGGTGGACCAGAATCACCTCGAAGCCGTCTGGAAGTTGTTTTCCATGGCCTCGCCAAACTCATCCCACACCCGAGTTTTTGCCTCAGCGACCGCCGAAGCTGCATCCCGCTTGGCCTGCCGGTAGCTGTCAGCTGCCTCTAGAGTCCCACAGGCTAAAAAGGACTGATAGGAACCCTTCTTCAGCTTGACGGCATCCCTCACCACCGGTGTCCACCAGCGGGTTCGAGGATTGCCGCCGCGACAAGCACCGACCACCTTACGGCCACAGCTCCGGTCAGCCGCCTCCACAATGGAGGCACGGAACATGGCCCATTCGGACTCAATGTCCTCCGCCTCCCCTGGGACATGGGAGAAGTTCTGCCGGAGGTAGGAGTTGAAACTCCTGACAGGGGATTCCACCAGATGTTCCCAGCAGACCCTCACTATACGCTTGGGCCTACCAGGCCTGGCCGGCTTCCTCCCCCACCAGCGGAGCCAACCCACCACCAGGTAGTGATCAGTTGACACCTCCGCCCTTCTCTTCACCCGAGTGTCCAAGACATGCGGCCGCAAGTCCGATGACACGACTACAAAGTCGATCATCGAACTGCGGCCTAGGGTGTCCTGGTGCCAAGTGCACATATGCACATGCCTGAACATGGTGTTCATTATGGACAATCTGTGATGAGCACAGAAGTCCAACAACAAAATACTGCTCAGGTTCAGATCGGGGGGGCCGTTCCTCCCAATCACGCCACTCCAGGTCTCACTGTCATTGCCCACGTGAGCATTGAAGTCCCCCAGCAGAACAAGAGAGTCCCCAGGAGGAGTGCTCTCCAACACCCCTTCCAAGGACTCCAAAAAGGGTAGGTACTTCCGCTTGGCACATAAGCACAAACAACAGTCAGGACCCGTCCCCCCACCCGAAGGCGAAGGGAGGCTACCCTCTTGTCCACTGCGGTAAACCCCAATGTACAGGCGCCCAGCCAGGGGGCAATAAGTATGCCCACCTCCGCCCGGCGCCTCTCCCCGTGGGCAACTCCAGAGTGGAAGAGGGTCCAACCCCCCTCAAGGAGACTGGTTCCACAGCCCAAGCCGTGTGTTGAGGTGAGCCCGACTGTATCTAGCCGGAACTTCACAACCTCGCGCACCAGCTCAGGCTCCTTCCCCATCAGAGATGTTACATTCCATGTCCCTAGAGCTAGCTTCTGCAGCCGAGGATCGGACCGCCAAGGTCCCCGCCTTTGGCCACTGCCCAGCTCACATCGCACCCGACCCCTATGGCCCCTCCTATAGGTGGTGAGCCCATTGCCCGACCAGGCCCCATGAGTACAGGCCTGGCCACCAGGCGCTCGCCATCGAGCCCCACCCCCAGGCCTGGCTCCAGGGGGGGCCCCAGTGGCCCGCGTCCAGGCAAGGGAAACCGTGGTTCCACTATTTTTTTCTTCATTGGGGTCTTCTGAGCCGCACTTCGTCTGGTTCCTCACCCAGGACCTGTTTGCCTTGGGTGACCCTACCAGGGGCATAAAGCCCCGGGCAACTTAGCTCCTGGGATCATTGGAACACGCAAACCCCTCCACCACGATAAGGTGTCGGCTCCAGGAGGGGCTATTGTTTTTTCAAAGAGGAAAATATAATTTCTATTGATTTTGATTGAATCATTAAATTATTATGAAAAAATATAAAATTCATTGTCAGTTAAAATAAAAATTAAATAGCTATGTCCAAATATTTTAAATAAGCTAAAACAACTCATGGAGCATACCAGCTCTTCCTATGAGCATGTCATAGGGACTGCAGCACACTGTTCAAACCATGCGTACTGTGTCTGCTCTGTTTGGCAGCTCTCTTTAAATCTCCTCATAGTAACCAGCCTCTATGGCGTTTGCTAATACTGCAGTTCTCTGGCTGACTCCCCCAGGAATGGTTGTGTCTCAGTCTCCTTCACGTCCTTACTGACTCCTTTTCTTCTCCCCCAGGTCCTCCGTGGCATCTCTGCTGTCAACAGAAACCCCTTAGTCCATGGCTTGATCGTGCAGCTGCCCCTAGACTCCATGAATCCCATAGATACTGAGAAAGTCATCAATGCTGTTAACCCGGAGAAAGACGTAGATGGGTGAGCATCTCCCACCTTCACCAGAACATCTTATCTTCTGATGTTTAACATGCTTGTCAATAGACAGCCACTCTATTTTGATTTACACATCCACATCTCTGAATATGACAAGGCATGAGGCTAAAAGGAAACAGTATCCCTATGCGTAGCAATGTAGGGAATCATTACCTCATTAGAAATGTGTGCGTAGCATGTATTTTCTCAAGAAAGCCCATGTTATGGCACGACTTTCCTCTGACATGATGCCAGTCTCACACTTGGGTGTATGTGCCTGTATGTTGTGTATTTGTGCCCTGTGTGTATGTATGTGAGCCTGACCCATATCAATGCTGGGAAACTGTCCCGTGGAGACCTAAGAAGCTGCTTCATCCCCTGCACTCCGAGTGGTTGTATGGAGCTCATCAGACAGGCAGGTGGGTCAGGACAGTGATAACACACTGTTTGCTGCATTCATGGGTGCGAAGTAGGGCTGCATGATTATTTGTTTTTGCATCACAATCTAGATTTATTCCCCTATGCAATCTCATTCTAGGGCTTAATCTGGATCTCAATTCTTACCCCTATGCAATCTCATTCTAGGGCTGAATGTCAATCTCAATTCATTCTCCCATGTAATCTATCGATCTAAATCTCAATTTAAAGTCAGAGTTTCACATCGATCTCATTCTTCCATGACATGAACTCTGCCTTGTTTCCATTAGTGGGGAGATTGATCAGAGGCTGAGATAAAGATGGCACCAGGAATGGCTGGTGTGGTGTGTTGCTCCCATGTGTGTGCTGTTTTTGTTCATTTATGTTGTGAGTGTCAAGTTCGATCTCATTACCTGGGTCAGAGAACAGCTTCAAAGACAATAACCCGCCATTTTTCATTACTGAATTTCTTTCTGAACCCTTGAATTTTACGGAGATCCTCACAGCAAGTCCCCAATCTGCGTTGAAGTTAATCCAAAGGCCGGCGCTCAGGATCGCTTGTGTGCCTTATGTGCAGAGGATTCCGGACATAATCTCTCCGGCATGTCCTGGATCCGCCCCGGTGCCTCCTCCTGGTTGGACAAGCCTGAAACAACTCCCCAGGGAGCCGTCCAGGAGAGATCCTAGATGCCTGAACCACTTCAACTGGCTCCTTTTGATGCAGAGGAGCAGCAGCTCTACTTTGAACCCCTCCAGAATGTCCGAGCTCCTCACCCTATCTCTAAGGCTGTGCCCAGACACCCTATGGAGGACACTCATTCCTGCTGCTTGTATTTGCGATCTCATACTTTCAGTCACTACCCAGAGCTCATGAACATATGCAAGGGAAGGAACGTAGATCGACTGGTAATTTGAAAGTTTCCCCTTTCAGCTCAGCTATCTCTTCGACATAACAGAATGCTACAGGGTCTCCGTTACTGCTGATGATGCACAGATCCACCTGTCAATCTCCCACTCCCCTTTTCACTCTTTCGTGAACAAGACCCTGAGATACTTAAATTCCTCCATTTAGGGCAGCAACTCATTCCCCACCAGGAGAGGGCAATCCACCCTTTCCTGGCCGAGAACAATGGCCTCAGATTGGAGGTGCTGATCCTCATCCCAGGTCACCAGCTGATGACACCTTCAGAACCACATCATTCACAAAAAGCAAGATGCAATTCTGAGGCCCCCCAAACTGGACCCACTCTGCCCCTTGGCTATGCCTAGATATTCTGTCCACAAAAATTATGAACAGAATTGGTGACAAAGGGCAGTCCCAATGGAGTCCAATACCCACCAGGAATGAGTCTGACTTATTGCTGGCAATGCGAACCAAGGTCTCAGTCCATTTGTACATTAGGTGCATTAGTGGGATTCAGAAGCTCCTCAAAATATTCCTTCCTGCCTGATTACATCCTCAGTTAAGGTCAACAGTTCTCCATCCTTGCTGCAAATAGCATTGGTAAAATCCTGCTTCTCCCCCCCCAAGTCGCCTGATGGTTTGCCAGAACCTTTTCGAGGCAGTCCGAAAGTTCTTATCCATAGCCTCACCAAACTCCTCCCACACCCGAGTTTTTGCCTCAGCAACTGCCAAAACCACTTTCTTTATCTGTCAGCTGCTACAGGAGTCCCACAAGCTAACCAAGCTCGGAAGGACTCCTTCTTCAGCCTGACAGCTCCCTTTACCACTGGTGTCCACCATCAAGTTTGGGGATTGCCACCACGATAGGCACCAACAACCTTACGGCCACAGCTCCACACTTCTGCCTCAACAATGGTGTCCCGGAACATGGCCCATTCATGCTCCATGCCCCCCCACTCCCTCTGGAGTGAATAGAAGTTCTGTTGCAGGTGTGAGTTAAAGATCTCACGGACAGGGGCCTCCACCAGATGCTCCCTAATACGGGTGTGGTAACATCCTTCTTAATTTTCTTCGTCAAAATGGTCTTCATGAACCACACTTACTCTGACCACTCACCTAGGACCAATTTGCCTTGGGAGACCCTACCAGGAGTAATTGCCCCCAAAAAGGTGGTGATTCATGGAGGGGGAAATTAAAGATGCTTATCACATTGTGGTGTGAGCATGTCTTGGGAATTCTGATCATAGATTCATTCATTTGATTCTAACTTAAAGACAGAAATTAAAAACCAACAAGCCCATGATTACAACAGTGAAATGGTGGACTAGTCAAGCCATCAAGGACTTACACAGTTGCTTTGACATCACAGACTGGGATGTATTCAAGGAAGAATCTGATGTGGTGAATGAAAATATCAATATGTCATTGTACGTCAGCTTCTGTGGAGAGATCTTAATCCCAGTAAAGCAATGGGTGAGGTACAGTAATGACAAGCTATGGTTTTAGAGAAGGGAATTAAAGCAGCTAAATAAAGGCATTCAGATAAGCGGAAGAACCAACCAGATGCTGACGACCCAACATCAGTCTGGAAAACCATACAGGAATCACTAAGCATAGGTGAGAAATCCCACCAATAACCCGCCAGCTCTCCAATGAACTGAATGAGTTCTGTTGAAAATTTCAGATTACATAGGACAGCCTTTTTTTGCCAACCATTCTCCCCTTCAAATTCAAGACAGTTCATCTGCAATTGCAGGAAGACAACTCCACTTCTCCGCTTTCAATCCCCCTCTGTCCCCCACAACCTCCTTCACTATCTGTGAACAGGGTGCCTGCAGGCACTTTACAAAACAAAAAGTGAGAAGTTCAGCTGGCCCTGCCAAGTATCACCATTTACCCTGAGGCACTGGCCTGACCTGTCTTTACTGACATTTCTAATAAATAACAGAATATATGCTCTGTTCCCAATTCTCAGTCCTCAATTATCATCCCTATCCCCAAAAAGTTTTTCAGTGTCCTAAATGACTGCAGGCCTATTGCCTTGACATATGCAGTTATGAAAGTCTTTGAGTGCCTTGTCTTGATCAACCTGAAAGCCAAAACAAACCGTCTGCTTGACCCCTTGCAGTCTGCATACAGGGCTACCAGGTCTGTGGATGACGTTGTTTTCCTGGCCCTGTGCTCTGTACTTGGGCATCTTGACACCTCAGGGACCTATATGAGAGTACTATACAGTATGGACTTCAGCTCAGCTTTTAATACCATTGATCCTGAGCTGCTACAGGTTAAACTCTCCCAGATGTCTGTGGACAGGTGACAGGACATGCAGCAGGAAGAGAGGGCAGAAATATATATAATAAAGAACAGACAAGGTTTAAATTCATGTTTAGCATTTCTTGCACTTCGAAATGGGTTGTTTGTTAAAAATCAGGAGTGAGTCCTTTCTGTTCAGCTATGGAAAACGAAAGATCAATCTATGAGCATGTTTTAATAATGAGTTAGAAATCCGTTGTGAGGTGATACTTTGAGAATTCTTCCAAGTGGTGAATGAGACTCATCTTCCACTATGGAATATGGCTGGTCATCCAATGCAATTGTCTCCATTATTTCAACTTTGAATATTGGCAAGCAAGACTGACACATCAGACTGATGCCAATATCTTGATTTTTAATGAGTATTGCCTGTTAACTGATATATCGTGCACAACAACAACAAATTTATTATGAATATGTTTCAATCTGTTATTATGTTTACGTATTTGAGGTTATACCTTTCATACATTTCTAAAACTAAAATTACTAAAAATGAACAATTTTATGATAAAACATTAAAATTATTCAAGCCAGTATGATATGTTCAATATTAAACATCAGTAAACCAAATGGAAATGTACCTGAGTGCATATGCTTCTATATAGAAGTGTGCATTCATACGCACACATGTGTGACTGTGTTACAGGTGTGCCGGTAGTCGGTAAGAATGCGCTGGTGGTGGGGCGCAGTAAGATCGTGGGAGCACCCATGCATGACCTGCTGTTGTGGAACCATGCGACCGTGACAACGTGTCACTCCCAAACGGCTGACCTCGCGACTGAGGTGAGACTTCACAGAACATTGCAGTAACGACCTCCTGATCTCAGTAAGACGATAATCTATCTGCCCTTATTTTGTGCATGACTGGCAAATGTGTCGCTTATTGGAGGACTCACACACAGAGTGTCCTCTCAGGTGAGCAGAGCTGACATCCTCGTGGTGGCGGCAGGGAAACCAGAGATAGTGAAGGGGGAGTGGGTCAAGGTCGGGGGGTTGGTCATCGACTGCGGCATCAACCACATTCCAGGTGCGTACGTGACTGTGGGACAGTCAAAAATCAGCAACAATTTACTGCCTCACATAGCCTGAAATATAGAATGGGTATAAAGCTGCCCTATCTCTTTAAGCATAATTTTGTTTGGAGTGCCACTGATGAGGAAAAAATATCGGGGATATCAGTCAAAAGAAAATTTTAAGCCAGCCAGTCCAATGATAAAGAACATCTGACTTACAGACAACTCCTACTTACGAACAGACTGTATGGAAGAGGATTAGGGCCACCATGAAAATATTATTTGAATTCTGACTTTAATGTCAGAATTCTGACATTAAAGTCAGAATTCAAATAATATTTGAATATCCCCGATATTTTTTCCTCATTCTGAGTTTTTTCTAAACTCAGAATTCTGAGATTAAAGTCAGAATTTAAATAATATTTTCATGGTGGCCCTAATCCTCTTCCGTACAGACTGCCATAAAACCTATAATATAAAAATTTGGGTTAAATACAGTGGTTCGTGATAACGAACACACACACTACTTTGTGACACTCATGAAGATATTGCACGATTTCAGCAGCTCATTGGGTCAAGGTTCAGTACAGTACCATATCTAGTTACTTTTATTATTACTGTATAAAATGATCTACTGTATTATTATTTTAAATGTTTTGCGTATTTGAAAGTGTTTTATATGAGTAGAATGGTATAATATAAACTATAAACTAAGACAATTTTTTGACTGACGCTAAATAAGAACCATATATACTTGTTCCAACTTATCTATAAATTTGACTTAAAGTCAGACCTAAGGAACTCATCTTGTTTGGAAGTGGGGGACTACCTGTATAGTAATTTGCATTTTTTAGGTTTGTATAATTTGAATATTAATATTTTCTCTGTAATACTGTTTTTGCTAGGAATGCAAAATTGAAATATTGTACGATAGGTAACTTGAACATTTGTGTAAGTTTGGGATTTTTAAAGCACAGAGAATCCCAGGAGTTTTCCAGCCCAGCTGTGCTGCTCTCTGGGAGTTTGGCTGCATGCTGTCTCGCTAACCTCTCACCTGTCACATGGACCTTTCAGATAACAGGAACAGTAAAGGCAAGCGCCTGCTTGGAGATGTTCACCAACCCTCTGCCCTGCAGAGGGCAGCGTTCATCACTCCTGTGCCTGGAGGAGTGGGCCCCATGACTGTAGCCATGCTCATGGAGGTATTTCTACATTCAGTCACTGTGCACACATCTACTTATAACTCAGACAGGCTTTGGAGATCTTTAGGAAGCCATTGAAAGAATGGCTATATCATGGGCTGTAAAATCTTGCTCTCCTGTAACCAACACACTTATGCACCCATACATAGTTACAGATACACATATGAAATTAACCCCAGAGGGCTCCTGTCCTGGGTAAGTGGTTAAAAGACATTTTACACATTTTTTAAAAGAGTTTGAAGAGTAGATGGATGGATGGATGGATGTATGGAGGGATGGATGGATATAAATGACTGTAAAGTACTGGTCATGCATAGTCCATCCATCCATCCATCATCCACCGCTTATCCGAGGTCGGGTCGCGGGCGCAGCAGTCAAAGCAGGGAAACCCAGACTTCCCTCTCCCCGGCCACTTCATCCAGCTCCTCCCAGTGGGACATGCCCGGATCACCTCACCAGGGAGGCGTCCAGGAGGCATCTTAAGCAGATGCCCGAGCCACCTCATCTGGCTCCTCTCAATGCGGAGGAGCAGCGGAATGACCAAGAATCTCTCCCGAATGACCAAGCTCCTCACCCTATCTCTAAGGGAGAGCCCAGCCACCCTGCGGAGGAAACTCATTTCGGCCACTTGTATTCGCAATCTCATTTTTTCGGTCACTACCCATAGCTCATGACATTAGGTGAGGGTAGGAACGTAGATTGACTGGTAAATTGAGAGCTTTGCCTTTTGTCTCAGCTCTTTCTTCACCATGACAGACTAATGCAGCGCCCGCATCACTACTGATGCCACACCAATCCGGCTGTCGATCTCCTGTTCCATCCTTCCCTCACTCGTGTCATGTATAGTCATTTCCAAATTATTATCTCCAGCTTCTAACCATTGATCCTGGTCAGAGGCATAGGGGAGCCCATTTCTAGGGGTATACCCTAGAGAGGAAGCCAGTCCATCACAGAGCACATACATGCACACACACAGTCATGCACTACATGCAGTTTTGTGGACACCAATCCAATCAATTGCACTGCATGTCCTTGGAATCCAAGTGGAAGCTCATGTGACAGATTCTCTCTATACATACAGAGCAAAGGGGGGTTCAAACTACCAACTCTGCGCCACCATGGTGCCCAAAGTCCCTGGCTTGGTTTATAATATGTACTTAATATATAGTTCCCATAATGTAATATATACATAACCCACACAGACACACATACACACACAGATTTAATCATTGAATAATTGTCTATTAAGGCCATGGTGCTGTTTCCTGTGTTACTTCCTGAACAGAACACAGTGCAGAGCGCCAAACACTTCCTGCAGGTGAACCATCCAGGACAGGGGAGCTTAAATCATTCGAGGATGAGCAGACAGACCCCTGTACCAAGGTATGCGGGGAAAGCAACCTTCATCAGGCATTTACCTGCCAACTTTATCTGTATTGACCATGTAGATCACCTAGTTACAATAAAATGGATTACACCCAGAGCAGTTAGTAACAGACATTTATTATTTAAGCTAAAATCATTTAAGCTGAAAACAATGTTAGGAAAATTGGCTGTGCAAAACACTAGCAGGTGACACTAGCTGCCTGCTAGAAGAAATTGGCACACAGTAAAATAATAATAATAATAATAATAATATTAACAACAACAACAATAATAGATTGCATATAGTAAATCATGATGTACACCATGCAAACAGTATAAACAATAAGCACCTGCTTGGTTTTATGTCACCGTCGCTCACCAAACCTATATAGAATATGCTGTTTATTCCTTCAGATAATCCATGTATATCGACACAGATCACTGGTATCTCTATGCATTTTGAACAATCAGATGGTGGTAACACAACCAGCTCAGTTTGGTCACATTTTCAGCCCTGTTAGTAAGCAGGGCCATTTCTGCACGGGTACGGGTCTGGTACAGCTTGTGAATTTTGCAATGGAAAACTGTCAGCTCGTGATACTGGTTGGGTACGGCTCAGTTTCTGATGCAGTGGAAAAGTTCTATTAGTCACAGTAAAAGGTTAGGGGTAATTTGAATGTGACAGTATTTGATGGATCTTATTTCTGCTTCACAAAAACATTATATGTATTGAGATCTGCACTTGGTTTCATTTTCAGAAAAAAATCCCCAAAAATGAAAAGTGGCTGTATAGGATGGAAACGACAGCTGTAGAAGACACTTGGCCTTGTGAACACAGTAACTTTAGAAGTATTTTATAGATATATTTCAAACTTTGTGGGCGTTATTGAAAGGGTAACAAACTTGAATTAATCAAATTTTGAAACTAATTACCCAAAACTGAAATAGTGCCACACTGTGATACCAAATAAAAGGGTAGTTTTGAACATTTGATTCTGTCAGCTAAAGTCAGAAAGTTTTGAAAACTCAAAAAGTATTTGACAGATCTTTTTCAACCCTTGCAGATATATTCTAAGAGTGAATATCTGGACCTTATCAAATTTAGTGTCAAATTGCACTAAATTTTTTATTTTTTTTTTCTCCCTCCTCCACCCCCCCTCTGCGGAGGACTACTTTATTTGTATTTTATTTATTTATTTATTTATTTATTTAATATTTTTATTTGGTTCCTCAAAAGAAGGAGAGGGAGGGGGGGAGGGAACAAAGGAGAAGAAGGGGGGAAGAGAGCGAGAGGGAGAGAGAGGAAAAGAAAAAAGAAAGAAAAAAGGAGAGAAAAGGAAAAAACAAAACAGATAATCTGCTTCCATGTCTGCTGAAAAGAGAAAGA